GTGTGTGTGTGTGTGTGTGTGTGTGTGTGTGTGTGTGTGTGTGTGTGTGCGCTGGGAAACTGCTGCCACCGTCGGTCAGTTTGCATTGGACAATGGGCAGCGTGCGCTGATGAACACAACAGCAAACACGCACATCCAGAGATCTGAAAAACTCAAATGCGTGCTGAGGATTAACACCTTTGAGTCCCTGGAGCCTCAAACACATGCAATCCGACATATGCCGGCAGACTCGTGCTCAGTCATGTGCCTTTTCCCTCCTGATCGGTCCGCGGAGCAACCTGCGCTAACGCGGCCCGTTTATCTCCCCTCGAACAAACAAAAGCCGGCCTCACATACGGACGGAAACGGGACTAATCCATTTGTAATGGACTTAACAATAAAGTGGGGACGGGATAAAGCGGAGGCGCACTGTCATTAACCACGCCAGGCGGCACGGATTCACACAGAGGGCCGACTTCCACAAATAGAGTTTCTGTTTCAACTTTTAAGTGGTGACTAATTACATTTTGTCAAATATAAATAAATATATTACAGGCTTCTTTCATGCTCAGACACTTTGGACTCCACTTTCTTGGTAGTAAACTACTCCTCCATTGCAGATTAAGCAGCTTTTTTTTTTTTTTTTTTTTGGTAAAAACAACTCCGTTTTTTTTCAGAGATTGGACAGGCAGCGAGCAGTAGCGCTACCCACCGAATAGGTCATCCCTGGCCAGGGCGTACAGGATCCGGGAGGCTCCGATCAGGTTGCTCATGGCGGCGGAGAGCGTGGAGGAATAAACCCCCACGGTGACGAAGGGATGCCAGATGTTGATGTCTCTCAGGAAGCTGTAATCCCTCTGAAGGAGGGTGCTGAAAGTTTACAGGAAAGAAAATGAACAAATTAGCCACCGTGCGTACAAGTTCTCACACTTAATATCAAGTTATTGACAGTAGAGAAATGTGGAGTCGCTGCTTGGACAGAGCAGAGGGCTCATGAAGACCGGTCACGTTGTTCTTCATCACGACATAAAACTGGAGGATGGAAAAGGGCCCTTTGATGCATTCATTCTGAGAAAAACGCTGTAAATAAAATCTACTCGCAGCTTTAAGACGGTCTTTGTTTGGTAATTTCACGCTGAAAACAACATTATAACACAACGGTGAGAAGATCAAACGTGAGATATGGGAAAAGTCAGGTTACCATGGTGATGTCCAATCCTATGTCAGTATGTGGCTTCGTGGATAAAAAAACAATCCAGCTTAAGGTTTTCATACTAAGTTGGTTTTCACGCCTTCATTGAAGGTTTGAGGTAATATTAGATTTAAATGTGGTTTTGAATGGATTTGATCTGTCAGACACTTTTATCGGGTCGATTATCCCTCACAGACCGGCCCGGGTGCTCAAAGCAGAATGTAGAAGTTCTTTTGTATACTTTAAGCATTTACTTGTCGAAACATGGCAAGAGCTAGCTGCTCGGGAAGAGCAGATGGACAGTCTTCCTCTCACGTATGTGAGGGGCTATCTCTGGATACTCTGGCTACCTTCCGCCACACCTTAGGTTATCTGGTGACCATAAATGGATAGAAGTGAGCGTGGATGCGGTCGTTTGTCTTTGTATAACCCCTGACGGACTGGCGATGTGTCCACAGTGTACTCTGCCTTTCCCCAGTGAATACAGGCCTGAATTTGGTCAAGCAGATAAAGAGGAAAATGAGGAATCAATAGCAATAAAATTGTTAAATTCTCCCAAATATCAATTGAGCTCTTAAGACACCCACCAACCAGACCTTCAGAAGAAGCCGTCAAAGCCCTGTGATGTTAACAGAGCAGTGGAGACAGCTATTAAAAAAAAAAAAAAAAAGACGAACGTATTCAAATTAAAAAAAACCACCCCCAAAAAACCCCTCTTTGTTAGTTTGTTACATTTCCACCAGGACACCAATGTGATGTCAA